TTAGTCCCTTCGGCGGTTTTGACACCTTAGCTTTGTGTCACCCTCTTCTCCTGGATTTCCATGTGAAGCACGAGTAAAATTTGTCATTGATCTGGCAATTGAGTATTTTTGTGACTCCAGCATGCTGTCTTGTAGGTGATCTCCCTCTGGCTTCTAACATTTCAAGTTGTGATTTCCACTTCTCCCCCTGCCTTGCTTAGGTCTCTGCCTTCTGTTAAATTTGTAGGGAGAAACCAGTGATGGAGGACTTGCTCAAACACCCTCCTGCCAGGCTTGTCACTGGAGTAATTCAGGTTAGGAAAGCATCTTTCCCTGCTCACATGAGAAGAATTCTAAATTAGGACAAATTGCAAAATATTCTGATGTTTTGTGTGTTTTCTTTCATAATTCGCTTGGTTATTGTTACGAGAACTTGCTCTTATTTTCCAAGTCTTAAGTACAAACTGTCTGGAATGCTTGATTTTCAACATGTTTCGTTTTGATAAATACCACTTAATAACCTCTCATCTTTCCTCCACGAGGGAGAAAAATTCCGTCATTATTAAATATTGATTTATCATCTAAGCAGTTCCTGTTAAGAAACCATATTCAATGAGCACGTCCGCATTTTCACATCGTTACTGACTGTTGTTTAATTTCCATCTAGTTACTGGAAGATCAGTAGGAATTTTCATCTCTCCGTTTAAAAGATGCCTTTGTTGCCCAGAAACCCTTCATCTCCCCTCCATTGCTTTTCAGCCCTTGCTGCCTACATTTCAACTGCAATTCGTGCATTTCAGAGAAGTCCAGTGTTACCTGCCTCATTGCTGGGGTTGATGCGCAGCTGATGGACCCTCCCCGTGTCACGCTGGCAGGCAGCAGAAGAGTAAAAAGTCAATCTTGGGTTTCCCAATTGCTAACAGAGACCCCTGTGTACTGCACCATGCTTCAGGGGGGTGGTTTATGTGTCTGCCAGACCTCGCCACTTATTTCCAGTAGACCTCGGTCATCCGGGAGTGAAGGTTAAGAGATGGCACATCCCCTTCACATCTCTTTTTGAAATGTCAACCGTGCTGTCTGGCAGCTCTCGAGTCCTACCACGTTTTAACATGAATAGTTACATATAAATGTTGCGTTCATGCGTGCTTCTGCCGAGGTTATTGTTATTAAAGTTGGGAGCTCAGCAGTTCCATAAGAATTTTAAGCGTGTTATGAAACACATGGTCTTGTGGATGGGATGCTGCACTGGTGCTTGGGAACACTGGGTGCAGAACCCGCTGCAGGCCTCCTTGGTGTTACACAAGTCACGAGGTCGCTCTGTGCGTAGGGCTCTCATCTGAGAGTCATTCTTCTCACAGGCCTTTTCCCTCTTACTGGTCTTGTACTTGTGTGGCGTGTATCACAGTTGGCCTGATCTCCACTAGTCCCTGTATTTATTTGGTACTGCACTGTAAATAAGACGTGCCCTACTTTCATTCTCATTCATGCTGTGGTAAATTCTAAACTGTTCTAGATTTCTCAGGAGTAATGTTTTATAAAGCAATGATTTGCTGCATATTTTGGTAATCTGGTAGTACATTGCTCACCAGCGTCTGTCTCCAATGACACCTATTGGTTTGGCACATAACAAAGAGCTGTTTGGATGGAAGGGAACCACTGGATATTTCCTCTAATAAATTTTCTTCCGTTTTGTATTTCCAAGGTACTGCACAGATGAAAATCAGACATTTCCTCAGCCGTTCATGCTGGAGAATCACATCAGCCTCATGCACGGCATCAAAAACCCAGACTTATCCCAGATGGCCAAAGCAAAAGCTCCAGAGAGAGACACAGCAGAAGTAACTGATATATTTTCATTGAAAAATAAATGTACCTTGCAAGTAGCTGTTCACTTGGGGTGTTATGTCAGGCCACAGCCTTGCGGCAGTCAAGCCCTCTCCTCCATATGGCAGCTTTCCTTCCCCCCCCCTCTCAGCTCCATCCAGTTTGCTTCTCTCTGGCAGTATCAGGATCAGAATTGAAAGTGCAGATGAGCAGCAGCAGCACCAGGGCAATGTATCTTGCATTTTTCAAGACGTTCTTGAATGCCTGCCCCTGTGTTTTACTGGCCTTTTTTCAGTCTACTTTGTAACCAGGTCTACTTTGGGTTTGTTATTACCCTTGTTTTCCCCTGCCACTCCGTTCATGAGCCTGGTACCTTTTTGCTTTTTCTCCCTTGTTTTTTCTGCTAGTTACAAAAGATTTATGTTTGGAAATACTTATTAGATCCGTTACATACGAAAACTGCATTCCTCCCAAGTAGGACTGTTTAATTTTTTTCAGCAAATGTAACTGTTCAACTGATGATCTTGAAGGTCTTTTCCAACCAAAATGATTCTATGGTTCTGTGATTCTATGATTTTATTTCAGGTTGGTTTGGAGTGGCGGGTTGGCTGATTTGGCTTCTTTGCTCCATTTACTTTAAAAACAGGCGTACGTTTTCTGTATCACTGCAATTTATTGTTTGTCTGTACCCTGGCATTGAGGGGTCGCAGCCAAGACTGACTCCTCTCTGTATTTATGCTGTGAGGAAACTTGGGGTAAACTCAAGAATTCACTTCCACGAGCTGGTGGCTGCTTCCCCCCAGCAGACCCGATGTACCAGGGCACCCGGCTGAACAGGGGCAGGCGGTGGCTTCATGTGGCTCCAGCTGGGTCTGCAAATGCAAGCCTATAAGCTCTGTCTTAAACAAAGGCTGCTCAGTGCTGCTGGATAAAGAGATAGAAAAAAATCACGTGGAGGGCTGTACACAAGGGAGCCATCCCCATGGGAGGAGAAGCATGCTGCGGGATTATAAGACGGAGGGGATGAGTTAATAAGAGATGCCATGAAGAAGAAGCCTGGGTGGAGGGGAAAATGTTCAGAGTTAAATCTGAGAAGCATTGCCTGGGCTAATGACCATGCCCATGTCCCTCAGCTGTCCCTGCTCTGTGGGCTCCTCCTTTCCACACCAAGTTCACGGTCTCTTTCCCCATCATGTTTCTGCCCAGCCAACCCCTCCCAGGTCTCCTGTCTCCTGCCGCAGGACAGTAGTTGAGATCCTGCAGGTTGGGCGAGGTGTTTGGGTACTGGTAGGAAAGGCATTGCCACGGGAGTCCCTAGGCATGGCTTCGGTCAGTTTGTTTCAAAATATCCATGTGTATTCACCCTCAGGTGTCTTCGGATACGCCTGTGGAATTTAGCACTTCTTCTTCCGTGGGCCTGAACAATAAAGTAACTTTTTAATCTTATTTTTTTAAGGCAAAATCTCCAAAGAGGATGGCAATGGATGAGCTGGTTCAGGCACAGACCGCTACAGGTTCAGACACGCCACCAGCCAAAAAACTGAAAGCGCATTGGAAATGTGCTAAATGCGGATTTGCGACAGACATCAGTACTGAGTTTCAGGAACACATACCTCGGCACAAGACAGACAGCTCCACCTACCAGTGCTTGTTCTGCGGCTTGTGCTACACCTCTCACATCTCTCTGAACAGACACCTCTTCATTGTTCATAAAGTAAAAGATGAGGAGGAGGAGGAGGAAGAGGAGGAGGAGGAGGAGGAGGAGGAGGAAGATGAAAGGCAGAAGTTACAAAGCGAGATGAGCGAGAACGGACATGAGGGGTATAATGGCGAGATGAACACTACGGCGGAAGAAGACAACCTGAAATGCAAAGAGTGCAGAAGTGACTCAGCTCTGTGTGAACACAGTCAGACATGTGGCGTGGAGGGTCCTAATAGCACCTCGCAGAACAATCATTCGAAGTCTCTTAAAACTTAAAAACAAAAAACCCCTTTTGGTTGGTCGGGGGGTTTTTGTTGGGGGGGTTTTTACTCAAAATACAGGGTGGGGATGGGGCGAATCTTTGAAATATTCTGTTGATTTCTTGGGATGGACATTGCTTTCCGTTAACTTCTATTTGTAAGGGAAATTTAAACAAGAAAAAAACCCCAACCCTGCCATTGCATCGTAAGCACTAACTCTCTGCCAGACCAGAGAGGTGAAAAGGGAAAGCAGGGCGAGAATCCTCGCTGGAGCTTGTCCAACTCCTGAGGATCAAGGAGCACTTTCTGCAGCTGCAGTTTCCTTACGATGAGCTCTCTTCCTTCGAGTGTGCACTGCCTCAGCCTCTGCCCGGAGCCCCAGCCTTGCCTTCCCTATCTCACTTTCTTTCTCCTTCTATTTATGGCTTCTTTTTTCTCTTCCCATCCTGCCTTTGTTTTACTCATTTTAACTCATAACGCTGTCTCAGCAAAACACGCTTGTCAGGACCGTGCTGACCGATCCGGGATCTTCTGCATTACACGGGATGGGTTCAAGCTGTAAGTTGTGCTGATTTTTCTTTGATTGCCCGAATAACAACCTTGTTTTCCAAAAGGCAATTTAATGAAATGTCTTGGACCTGAATCATCCTGAAAGAGAATTTTGTAGCCCCCACCCCCACCCCCCCTCCTCTCGGGTGAGCACAGCTCGAAGCCACATGTCATGTTATGGAGGGCCTGGTGCCCCTTGGGGACTTGCTGGCTGCGTGTCGGTGGAGTTGCACTGCTGGAAGCCGTCCCGGGGGTGGGTGCAACCAGACCCGGTGCTCAGTGGCTCATCCCAGCGAGGAGCTTGGGCAGAGCCGGGTGGCAGCTTGGCACCATCCCCAGAAGGGGAAAACATCCCCCGCCCCTGCCCGTGGCGCCGGCAGCAGTGGAACCATCCTGGCACTCCTGATGGCGTCGGCTGGGTGCCAGGGCTGCCTGATGGGCTCGTTCAGAGCCGCCACGGCAGAGGAGGGGAGCGCAGCCCGCAGCGGCGCGGGCAGAGGCGGGAACCAACACCCACGGCGCCGCGAGAGCCGGCAATCCGTCGGGAGCTCTTCTCCCGCCGAGGCTCAGGGGAGGCATTTCTTTCCACGTAGTCATATTGACTCTCTCTTTCCTCACTCGTTCCCCCATCACACACGTGCTTTGTGTAATATAATTATCTTCTATACCATTATTTTTTTTTTATTCTGTTGAGCCAGAACCCCACTCGTTATTGTTTACTATGGCGATGTTTAAATAATTTAAGAACTATTTATCTTATTGCATTCGGATTGCTCACCTTCTCGTCTCGACGTGTTTTGATACGAACAGTTTGGACTCTTTGTATTTTTTGATACGGTGTACGTTAGCCTAGGGCCGTCTGACCAGGTAGCCTACGTAGAGTTAAGGGTAGCAGGGGGCACTCCCGAGCCATCACGTATCTATTTAACCCGCAGCGGCGTCTGTGCCTTGCTATGATGTTTACTTCCAAGTATTACAAATAAAAGCATCCAAGGGTGCCTGCTTGCGCGTCGTTC